ATCCAGCGAGAAAAATCCACACCCATGGGTAGGCCATAAAAAACCCACATCCCATCTCAATCCCATGACCTATAGTGCCACACACGGCTACAGCCTACAGATCAGGCAGCGATTGGAAGAGCCACGAGATGCATAGACGGAGACTGATATCTGTCCGGCTGAGAGTTCAGCAGAACGTCTAACAAGGAAAGTGCATGTTCCCCAACATCTGGAATCCGCGTGGGCAAAGTGACCAGTTGTGTTAGCCATATGCAAAGCCAAAGTCGTAAACAGATCTACCCGCATGATCCGTAGTACGAGAACTGAGCCATTCGGCGTTGAAATCGCCAACGAGCACGATCTCTGCGGATGGGACCAATAGTAACATGGAATCTGTAGTCATTAGGACGTGGCCGAAGAGTCCATCTGTCTCAACATTACCACTGTGGAATTTATAAAGGCATCCATTGTAATCTGGGTAAGATAAATAAATATCAGCCAGAGAGAACTGTGTTTCGGTGAGCAAGACCGGCTTAGCCGTCTCGAGGTGGTGGCAGACAGCGTTAAGGTTTGAATTGAAAGGGTGACGTAGTGATTTCGCTTCGTGTAGAAAGTGCACAGTGAGGAATTATCCAAGTTTATCGATGCTACGAGGGCGGCACTGAAAATTTCGGGAATCAAGGAAGTGACACAACATTACTATTTAAAAATGTATTTATTGCTTTTCGAAGTATTCTCCGCGAAATTTGACACATTTTTCCATACGATGGAACCAATCATTGAAGCAACCATTCCATTTGGAAGTTGGGGTCTCCAAAATGGCCGTTTTGTAGGCGTCCACAGCTTCTTCAGGTGATGAAAATCTCTGTCCACGCAATTTATTCTTTATTTTAGGGAAAGTATACAAATCATTAGGGCTTAGGTCGGGGCTGTACGGCAGATAGTCTAATAATTCTATGTTTTCTTGCTCTAAAAACTCTTTTGTTCTGTGTGCGGTGTGAGAACTCGCATTGTCGTGATGGAGGATGATGCGGCTGTTGCAGTTCTCTTTACGGAGTTTAGAAACGACCTGTGGCAAACAAATGCTAGCATACTATTCTGCATTAAGCGTTCTTTGTCCCTCAAGAGGAATAGTCGTAACATGGCCGGTTTTGGAGACAAACGTAGCCACCATTTTTTTTGCAACACTCCGTGAACGAACAATTTTTGTTGGCTTTAACTAATTTTCGAACACCCAAACTCGTGAATGGTTTTTTATTTCGGGTTCGTACGCGTATATCCAGGATTCGTCACCTGATACGATGTTGTATACAGCATTTGAGGATCCTGCGTGGAATCTTTCGAGAGTTCTGACGCACCAAGTAACGCGAGCCGCTTTTTGCTCTTCACAGAGCGAATGCGGTATCCATCGGGAAAACAACTATTTTACACCTAATTATTCATGCAAGATTATTTGTATTTAACTCATGCCAATGTCTAAAGTTGCCTGAATTTCGCGGTATGTCACATGTCGATCTTCCTCAATCAGCTTACGCACAGCATCAACGTTTTCTTGGGTGTCTGCAGTTTTTGGACGACCTTGACGGGGATCATCACTGAGCTTGACACGTCCACGTTGAAATTCAGCAAACCAGCGAAAAATTGTGGTTTTGGATGGGGCTTCATCACCAAATGCAGAAATCATCCGGTCAAAACACTGTTTTTGTGTTAAACCAAAGTCATAATAAATCATCGCTCTTGAATTTTCTCGAGTCAATTTCATTTTCTCAACGACTAAACAAGTTTGACAAAACCTTGTGACAAGACCGAGAATCTTTTTTTAAATAAATAAATGGTATTTGATTTTTAAAACCAAGGACTTTTCAATTAAAAAGATTTTAATATGACAAGAACAGTGGAAATATTCCATTCCCGATACTTTTAGTGCAGCCTATGTAGTACCCTCCTGGGGTAGATTTTACTTAACACCGCTTTCATATTTTTTCAAAATATGTGGTTATAATTTATGACAAGTAGTCGCCAGGTGGCGCCGATGTGGTGTTAGCCTAGGGCGCCGTCGACATTTAATAAGTAGTCGCTAGGGGGCGCCGATGTGGTGTTAGCCTAGGGCGCCGTCGACATTTAATCCCTCTCTGACCGTAAATAATGGGCGATCGGCCAATTTTAGTCTCCTAACGGGAGTGCATGATATTGATTGACAGAACGCTCGAAGGGAAGAACATTTATTATACTATTTTTTTCTGTTCTCTGCAAACTATTAAGAGAATAATGTCTGCAAAAGCTCGCGCGATAAACATGTCACCCACATCTGAATATGATGACGCAGTAAATACTTGCGTTATTGTTGTGTGTTGTTAAGAACTGGCTCTTAAAAATTACTGGCTCTTATAATTATAGTATATTATCAGACAAATTTATTAAATGTGTAGTAGGTACATATTATCTTCAAAAGACAAAGGAAAGAGATCAAACGCAAGACCAGACTTTACTTGCTTTCTGAGGCATGGGGGTGTAATACCACCAATTTATTGACTCCTGACTCGGCTGCTAATGACAAACCCAATAATACGAGGGTGGATTGAAAAGTACTCGGCCTAACCAAGAAAATAAACACATACTAAATCAGTTATATTTTTATTTTTCTACATAATCACCATTAAGTTCAATACACTTTTGCCACCTCCCCTTCCAAGCATTTAGACCGTTGAAAAAAAATGATTCTTCCTTAGAGTCAAAATATGCGTCTACAGCTGCTTTGACCTCGTCGTTTGTCGAAAATCTTTGACCTCCCAAGTGCTTTTTTAGGTTAGGGAACAGAAAGAAGTCTGATGGTACCAGATCAGGTGAATACGGCGGATGCGGTAACAGTTCAAAGCCACAGTTGTGAATTTCAGCCATTGACTGTACTGACGTGTGAACACGGGCGTTATCTTGATGAAACAGGACTTTTCTTCTGAGCATTCCTCGACGTTTTTCTTTTATTTCCTCTCGTAAACGACGTAGTAAGGTGCAGTAGTAATCAGAGTTTATATTCTGACCCCTTTCAAGATAATCAATCATAATCACACCTTTCGAGTCCCAGAATACTGAAGCCATTACCTTATTTGCCGACAAAATCGACTTAGCCTTTTTAGGGGGTGGTGAACCAGGTCTTCTCCACTGTTTTGATTGTTGTTTTGTTTCCGGTGTACAGTAATGAACCCATGTTTCGTCCATAGTAACAAAACGATTCAAAAAATCATCTGCATCGGCTTCAAATAACTCCAAACAGTCGCGTGAAATAGTTAATCGCGTCCTTTTTTGTTCAACTGAAAGCAGTCGCGGAACCCACCTCGCAGACACCTTGTGGAAACCCAACTCGTTGACAATGATGTTTTGAGTTCGTTCATAAGAGATGCCTATAATCTCGGCTATCTCTCTAATTTTTAATCTGCGGTCTCCCATTATTAAATCAAGTACTTTTTTAATATTTTCGTCAGTAGTTGACGTCGAAGGCCTTCCAGAGCGGGGTTCATCTTTCACACTCTCTCTACCACGCTTAAATTCTGCTATCCATTTTTTGACGGATGAATATGACAGAGCACAATCGCCTAATGTACTGACCATGTCATCATGGATGGCTTTTGATGATAGCCCCTTCTTATGGAGGTACTTAATGACGGCACGCTGCTCGATTTGCTCCATTCGCGGAAATTATGTCCGATTACTTTGTTAATAAATTTATAAAATCACAACTAATTATCGCACACGTTACGAACTTCACACAATGAACTAGTCTGAACTGAACTAAATAATGTGGGTAGATTTGATTTTTAGAATTGAATGGATCTGTGTTAGGCCGAGTACTTTTCAATCCACCCTCGTAGATTTTGGCCCATTCATAATGATCGACCGAATGACCTGCTCGTGTGACGAATCAATACTTGAATGATCAGGTCACTAGAAATGAATGAATGTTACATGTCCACAGAAGAAAAATGAAACATTTTGAAGATAAATTCAGTACGATTTATGTAACAAAACATACCTGCATAGGTACAATTTTTTGTTGTGCGAATATAAACCGATTTAATCATTCGCTAAATTTTAATATTTTGGCTAATAGAACTAGTGCAATCTTTACTCCTAAATCTATTTGGGTAAATAACCTTAAAACCTGCGGTTGCCAACACGCCTGCCAAGTATGGCAACTATGGGAAAGGCCTGTGCCGGCGGTGGATTTTTGATAGGCTATAACGGTAAACAACCTTTAACCTTGTCTGAACCTGAATATTACGTAATTGCAAAATGTACAATTTTTACATTAATTTTTTCGAATATTTTAACTCTACATAGTATATAATTTCAATTTAAAAATTTTGTACAGCCGACTTCAATATAAGTTATTAAGAATAATTCAAAAATGTTTGACCTGAGTTGGTCAAATTCATATGGGACCACACGAGAAGTACCAGCTTTCAAATAAAACAAGAATCATCGAAATCGGTTCACCCAGTAAAAAGTTATGAGGTACACACAAAAAAAAACAAAAAAAATACAGTCGAATTGAGTACCGTCTCCTTTAGAAAACAAAGTCACTTCCCGCTGTTTGTACGCTTAGATCTTTTAAACGACACATCGGATTTTGATGCCATTTTCATCAATAGACAGAATTATTCAAGAGGAAGATTTATATGTATAATACATTTTTTTTTTCTCTAAAAATGTTCTGTAAATAAACTGCTCCTAAACGGCTGGACCGATTTTGATGAAATTTTGTGAGTGTGATTAAGTTGATTAGAATGGTTTAGATTAACAATTGGACCCGGTAGGTGGCGTTGTTATCGTGATCCGGAAATTAACCGTGCGAAGCCGGGGCGGAGCGCTAGTTTCTCATAAAACGAAGTGATTATATTATACTCTTCGATTTCTCACTGCGGAACACAAAAGATTTAAAAAAATCAGTAATATTGTGCAAGAATATAGAAGAATGGAGCAGGTGAAATAAAAATAAAACAAATTGCTTTGTAAAGCTTTTATTATCAAAAGTCTTGATTTAATAAGTTACTGTATTCCTTTTCCAGAGCTTTCAAAGCGCCCTCTGCAGTCAACAGAGCGTTCTGTTTCTTCAAATTGTCTATGAGTGAGTTTTGCTTGTCTATGCAACTTGTCAGATGTTTGACGCGCGATTCGAGTCGAGAAATGGCGTTTTGATGCGATGCTGACAGGTTACGCGTTAAAAAATATTATAAACTAGCGAGCCGGCCTGGCTTCGCTTGGGTAAAACCCATTTATTTTATAAATTTTTGCTTCTTTTTTATTTTTTTGGATAAAATATAGCCTAGACCACTCGTTCCAATACTCTCTATCTTTTCGTTAAGTTACATTATAATCGAATTCGCCACGACAGACTGACAGACAAAAATTTTAAAAATGACTCTTCAATATAATATAATATAATGACAATAACCCTCTCGGCTTTATAAAAGGCAGTTATTTCAATATTACAGACAGACATGTTTATAAGTATATATAGATATAATGTAATGTGTGTTGCTTTTTAAATATTATTTATACAAACTAGCCCAACGGATCAGTCAGCTAAATTGGCAATGGGTGAAAATTATTAACATGTTTAATATAATGAATTTCCGCAAAGTAAAGCCTGATTCAATTAACTAGACGGATGCAGGTGGCTCAGAACCGTACTTTTTGCATCTTTATGGGAGGTCTGAGTTTTACTAGTTGCCCGTCTGGGTAGTACCACCCCCTTACCTATTCCTGCTGCAAAATAGCAGTGCTTGTACTGCTATGTTCCGCTCTGAACTGTATAGAGAATAAGTGTAATTACAGGGTATGAGGCATTCCATCTTAGTCCTCAGAGGTGGCATCTTTGGCAGCCTTCTTTGTTTAATGTTTGCTGCATGTGTTCACGGACTACCACTTACCATCAGGTGGATTGTAAGTTCATTTGTAGCTTTTGAGTCTTATAAAAAAAATTAAAATAGCGTCACTATAGTCTGGGCCTAATATGGCCTATAAATGTCATTTAATTTTAATCTCTTACTGCTGCTAGGTTATGATGATCGAGTACCTGCTACACGTGGTAGAGCCATGCTGCAGATATATTATGGTTGTACCACGAATGGGTCGGCTCGACCGGGAGAGGACCACGACCTTACAAAATACAAGCGTAAAATAGCAGCTTAATGCTGCTGTGTTTCGTATGGTGAGACCGAGACCCTTTTTACTGGAAATGAGGCATTCCATCTTAGTCGTCACGGGTGACAACGCATCTGCATTTTGATTCGCAAACGAGGATAGATGTAGATGTCTATGAGCCACAGCAACCACTAACAATCAGGTGGACTGTGTGCACGTACCCTTATTCTTATTAAAAAAAAACTTTCAGCATCAACATAGTATTTGCGTAAAGAAAATGAAACTACCTTCTCTGCTATTCTAGCAGCTTCCAGCTGTTGCTTAAGCGTGGCGATAGCTTCTTCTTGCGAGGCGCATCGGGCTTCCAAACTGGCGTTTTTACTTTTGATTTGTTTTAGTTCGCTCGTCAGTCTGTCTGTGGTGCTTCTTTGTTCTTTGTACAGACGGTCCTTGTCCTATAAAATGTTTTTTTTTATAGTTATTGTGTTTGCATGTCCACAGCTGAATATATATTCCAAGAATATAGTATGACGGTAATAATAATGTCCTCCATACTACACAATAAATAATAGTACTACGTACAGAAGTTGTACTCTTTTGATGTTGACTGCTTGCCGACGTTTTAATAGCCTACATAGTTATTATTCATTAGATAAATCACGCACGCGAACTAAATAAAACTTTATCACTGCGCGCGAATGTCCGTATTACTTTGCATCTTTTCTCCTTCCTACATCACGACGGACTTTCCGTGATTGCTAAGGGCTGTTAATAAAGAGTAAACAAATACATTGTGAGATGGTAAGTTACTTAGGTAAAGTACCTATTCTGACTATGATCGACCATATTTCCGCTACTATGTGAGTTCTGTGATATCCAACGCATGCAATTTGGAAGGTCATTCGTTGGGAATCGCGATATTTGGCTCGGAAGAAATAGGTAGATAGTATAAACAACAAATAAACCCGCAATACTATTCCTAACAGAAATGTGATCGTATTCTACTTAGTTAAAAATCTTATAAACTAAGTTTAAATTTCGGTATTTTGTTTTATTATAACTTAAAATATTTTAATTACAAAAGACAAAGATAGGTATGTAAGTAGGTACTTGGATGGTGAAGTGAATTTCAACAAAATTTTGTAATAAATTACTTAGGTAGTAGTTAAGTTATTACTTAATTAGTAGGATCTGTAGTTAAGTTATTACTTAATTCCTTTTTCGCTATAAGTGTCTATTTAACAAAAAATTAAATATAATCACCTTTAATTATCCTTCGGTAACTTAAAAAATGATATATCTGAATCCGTTTGTTTACTCATTAAGCATCCATTCACGCAACAATATTACTAGGAACGACGTTTTGCCATTGTAATTTATCAAATAGATAGGTAATATACATATTATATATTATTCTTGTATTACATTAAAACTTTTTCAACTATTTTATCCTATACTTAAATATCATCATCATCATCATCATTACAGCCCTTCACAAGTCCACTGCTGAACATAGGCTTCCCCCAAGGAAGGCCACAAAGCACGGTCCTGAGCCACCTGCATCCATCGACTCCCTGCATGTCTTACCAGGTCGTCACTCCATCTAGTAGGGGGTCACCCCACACTTCGCCTACCGGCATGAGGCTGCCACTCGAGAACCTTTTTTCTCCGTCGGTTGTCGGTTCTTCGAGCTATATGGCCGGCCCATTGCCACTTCAGCTTACTAATCCGATGGACTATGTCAGTTACTCTGGTTCTACGGATATCCTCATTTCTAAGTCTATCACGCAGAGAAACCCCGAGCATAGCCATCTCTATAGCTCGCTGAGCGACCTTGAGCTTCCTCACACGGCCAGCAGTGAAGGACCACGTCTCAGTTCCATAGGCCACTGGCAACACCCACTGGTTGTACAATCTCGTTTTCAAGTTTTCAACAGAGTTGAATCTGTCGATTGACCTCTCGGTCGAAGTTGGACTAGTCGAACTATTTGTCCCAGTTAAACATACTCGTCAACAACTTGAGCTTAGTGTCCCTAACAACTACCGGCATTAGGTGTGACATGGATGTTATACATGATCTTTGTTTTGTCCATGTTCATCTTAAGACCTATCCGTTGGGAGGCACTAATGAGGTCATTGAGCATAGTCCTTAGGTCCTCCAGTGATTGTGCCATAAGGACTATATCGTCGGCAAATCGAAGGTGAGTGATGTACTCGGTATTTATGTTAATACCGTATTCTTTCCAGTCCAGCAGCTTGAAAACGTCTTCCAATGCGGGATATAACGTCACCCTGTCTTACACCTCTCTGCAGTTGGATAGGTTTCGTACTCTGGTTGTGTACTCGGATATCCATCGTAGTCCTACTGTACAAACACTTCAGCACTTCGATATACAGACAGTCCACTTGGCACCGCTAAAGGGACACTGATTTCAACTGAATCAAAGGCTTTCTCATAGTCCACAAGCGCAAGGCAAAGTGGCAGATTGTACTCTTCTGTCTTCCGTACAATTTACCGAAGGATGCACATGTGATCTATGGTACTAAAGCCTCTCCGGAAACCGACTTGTTCGGGAGGCTGGAAGTCGTCGAGTCTGCGTGCGAGACGATACGTAATGACTCTCGAAAACAGCACGTAGGCGCGGCTCAGAAGGGAAATGGGTCTGTAGTTCTTCAAGAGAGCGTTGTCGCCTTTCTTGAAGAACAAGACCAGCGCACTTCTGCTCCACGTCTCCGGAGTAGTCCCACCATGGAGGACGCTCCAATGTAATTCCATCCTCGCCTGGGGCCTTGCCGTTTTTAAGGTGCTGGAGAGCCATTCTATTCTCGCTCAAACTAACGTCCGGGATATCATCGGAATAGTGTCGGATAAGACTCGCTCTTAGATCGTTACTCACACTTGCGTGTGGCTCCAACGATGACTTGTACAGCTGCCCATAGAACTTCACAATCTCACTCAAAATCTCAGGTGTCCCGGAAACGATGCTGTCACACTCGGTCTTCAGCTTTGACAGTTGGCTCTTTCTGGCAGACAGATCTCTGGCAAAAACTTTGGAGCCTTGGTTCCGCTCGATCGCTTTGTCAATACAAGCTGTATTGAAGTTGCGTAAGTGCCGCCGCATGCATTTGGAGATCTGTCTGTTCAGTTACCTTTATGCTGTCAAATCTGTTGAAGACTGCAGCTTCATTTCCCGTCTAACAGCCATGAGATTAAGAGTGTGATCGGAGAGTTTTTGTGTTCTTCTGCGGCGGGCCCTGCAGAACTTGGCTCCGACTGTATGGACAGTTTCCACGAGCTTATCATTCACATCGTCCACTTCATTGCAGTCTTCTAGGAACTGAAAACGGTTTTGTAACTCGAACTGAAAGTTTTCGGGCCTTTGGACTAGAGCACGAGGGGGACGGAGCGTTGACTTCATTAGACGACACCTCTCCAATTTAACGTTTAGATTCAGTGTACCTCTAACTATTCGGTGATCGCTACCAGTTTTCACCCTCGCGATCACTGAAAAATCACTGTACAGTTGTCGTCTGGTCCTCATAATGAAGTCAATCTCATTTTGTGTCGAACCGCTCGAACAGGTCCACGTGTGGAGCCGCTTCTGGAAGAAAGAGTTCATCATAAAGAGTCGCATTTTCTCCATGAAGTCAACCAGCTGCTGGCCCCTTGGGTTCCGTTGCCCTATTCCAAATTTCCCTACCTTCAGCTCACCGTTCTCTCTTGTGCCTAGTTTTGCATTGAAGTCTCCCATTAAATGCGTATAGTAGGTTTTGGAAGAATGCATGGCTTTAAAGATATCCTCAAGTATTTCCTCCACCTCCTCATCGGGAAGTGCCGAGGTTGGTGCGTAAACCTGTATTCAATGAATACCGTTTGGTGATTCTGAGTATAAGGTACGCAACCCTCGTCGACACACTCACAATCTTTACAACGTTGTTGACAAGGATTGATGGTCGCCCTACCGGTGATAAAATAAATTGCCGGATTCGAGGATTACCGTGTCCTCCCTCTCTCTTCGGACCTCGGATAATCCTATGATATTCCAGCGCAACTTGTCTATCTCTTCTTCCAGCTTCAGGATCTTCTCGTCAGTCCTCAGGGTGCGTGCGTTATAAATTGCCAGGTCGAGTCGTCGTAGGTGGCAACCGAACCTCCAACGGAGATTCTTAGCACCCCCTGTCCCGCCGTTACCATGGTCGCCACCGTAGCCAGGAACAGCGGGGCCGTCGGGGACTTACCGTCTCTTCGTAACTTTCATGATGGGGGTATTTGCCATAGTTGCCCGGCTTGGCGAGCGGGTTGGCAATTGCATTTTTTTATCGTACTATTGTTATCAGGAAGATGCTGTTACCCATCCCCTGCTTGTTTCCCACTGTCACCTCTTACCACGGGAAAATATGGGGTAGTGGATATTCTTAACCGCCACTACATGGCATAACAATTAAATATACTAAACACTTAGCAAAAACTCTATCGGCGAGTATTTCAACAAGTATTTACGTAAACAGCGTTAAAAAAATTCAATCTCCTATAAGCCTAGAAACGCCCCGACTGCGTGGTATCCCGGGGGCGCCTCGCGAGATTGTAGGTAATTATTTCACGCAGGTGGCAAGAGTGACAGAGGACTGTCCACACCGAATTTCGGTCACGGCGGCCAGTATCAACCGAGACTAGCCATTTGCGCAGGACAGGATTATAGTGCCCGATTGTATGCGCAAGCACAGATGCACTCTTTATTCCCTCACACTCATAGTCCGATGGGACGGCAATCCTACATGACCGGATAGCTTTACGTGCTTTTCGACTGTCTTGTTGGTCTAATGGTCGTAAACGCAACTTCTAATCATGAGATCCCGGGTTAAATTCCCGAGTCAAGCCTGAAAAGACAGTTATTGAGATTTTATGTCAGAAAATCCTCCATAGCAGCACGGAGTCAGGAGGCTGTAGATGTTTCACCCAGTTCCTTGGAAAGCACGTAAAGCCCTGATCCTGCACCTGATCTCTCTTCGGTCGTATCGTTTTGTCATCCCATCGGACTATGAGAATGAGGGAATAGAGTGCACCTGAGCTTGGGCATACACTCGGGCACTATAATCCTGTCCTGCGCAAATGGCTAGACTTCGTTGAGACTGGCCGCCGTGACTGAAACAGTCTGGAGATTATTACGTGCTTTCCGAGACACGAGGTAAAATATCGCCAACTTCCTGACTCAGGCCTGCTACTGGGAATCTTTTGACAGAATAATTTAAAATTAATAATTTTGTACAACCGACTTCGAAATAAATTATTAAGAATAACTCAAAAGCGATTGCTCAGACGTTGATCAAATTTATATGGGACCACATGAGAATCACCAGCTTTCAGATAAAGAAAGATTCATCGAAATCGGTTCACCATGAAAAAAGTTATGAGACACATTAAAAAAACATACAGTCGAATTGAGTACCTCCTCCTTTTTGAAGTCGGTAGAAAACTCAATATACAGACTTGGATTAGTACTGAAGGGGACTGTGCACACAATGAGGGCATCCACGACTTTTTCTGCCACCAGGGCGGCGCCACTTAAAAGTGAGGTATAATATTTAAAAGATTTCATAGCGGGGAAGTTAATTTGTTCGTAAAATGTAAAGGTTATTGTTCCTTTCCGCACAATAAGCTATATTTTCTATTAATAAGATTAAAAATAAATAAATCAAACCACAGATAAGTATTCATAAAAGTACAAAAATTTTAAAAAGTTAAAAATTTGCAAAAAATTAAAGAGCAAGTCTAGAAACCGATAAACTTTAACTTTTATTAAAAACTAACTTCTCAATTAAGTGGCATTTGTGTAACAAAAACTTTACCTCAGTATCAACTAGCGACATCTGGTGAGCAGAAAATTATTAGCCCTCATGACGGAGGACGGTGATCTTCAAACTGGGTAAGACACATCATTTTATTTTATTACGCGGACCTTTGCTAAATAATTTTTAACATCTTAAATCGACTTACATCAAGTTTACCCTGTAGAGTCAAGACCTTGGCTCTCATATCAGCTGTATCCGCTCGCATACTGTTCGCCTTATTCAACAGCGTCATCCGCTCACTCTCCAACTCCGCCTGTTGAGTGAGATGACTCTCGCATTGCTGAGTCTGAAAATTCAATATATTTTTTACAGCTACACGCAAAACAATACTTCTGGTAGTGACCAGACCGAATGAACGAAATGACCGAATCATGGCGGCCAGACTTTAAATTTCTCAGACATACAATTGATTTGCGACTAACTATTCAAGTGCACAGAACACTAATACCCTTAGGGGGTTCAAGTGCCACTGGCGGGGATGAAGCTCGGGTTGTCTCATGTCATGTCATGTCATGTCTCAAATTACGGCTCTTTGTGACACGACAAATGAGTATGAGACATTGTATTTCAGTCCTCATCGGTAAATCAATATACAATATACAACACCCTCTCCATGACGTCTACTCTTTTAATGAAAGGCTTTCAACGCATCTGCAATTCCCTGGTGTTGCAGTTGTTCATGGACGGCGATAGTCACTCACTATCAGGTGAGCCGCATGCTAGTTTGCCTCCTTTTATATTTAAAAAAAAAACCAAAGGAGCATGTATTGCATTGATATTACCAAAAAAATTAAAACTTCATATTATTAATGCAATGGAAATGAAACAGAAAATGAGCAGCAGCATCTTACTGATAATACCACAAAATAAAAACAAAAATAAAAATTAAGAACTGCGCTTGCCAACCCAAATATAATATATAAATATACCCTCTATGAGGCAATCTATAAGAGGCCTATGTTTAGCAGCGATGTTTTGATGGGCTGTGGTGATGATGATTATGACTATGATGATAATGATGAAATTATTTATTTATGAGCATAAAAATGTTAAGGTTATTTAAAATACCTGGTTACTATAATTTGCCTAAAATTCAGCATTTTTTTTAAATCTGGCAACACCATCTTAGGCGACGGTATCCTTGAACACAAAAATAAAGGGCTGGTATCTTTACCCACTCTTTGGTATAAATACCCGACATGCGGCACCCACATGTATTAAGATGTCAGTTTTTCCATTTAATTAACATTTATTGCACGCCTCATAACGCAAAGCGTTATTAGGTAGTGCATTACTCTCGACACGTTAAGGTCAAACAATTTTGTGTTCTTAAAATGCTTCTATCATAAACATATTGTAATTATACAATAATATGAGTAGCCGTATATCTTATTTTATTTTATTGCAGGGTATTATTTTTATTTATTGTCTGAAAAGAATTAACATTACCATTATTTACTAACAGAGTGGCTCATTAGAATCTTAGAAATGCAGTTTATTATATTAATTGAACTGTTTTTAGAAAAATGCTGCTGCCCAACTCCTGTCTAAGTTTCCCTCTGTCGCCTTTTACGACAACCACGGGATGATATGGGGTAGTGGATAGTCTTACACCGCCCCTACACTGTAGGAAAAATATTATATGAACAGATTAACATCATGATGATAATGATACCTAAAAGCACTTTCACAGATGCGACAGGGATTGTATATTATTGTATTGTAATGTATGTCTTCAGTAAATGCAGAAGTGTGTCTATGAATTAATAATCCTAGTGCCATATATCACAAATCTTTAATAACACTCACAGTTTCTGATGTAAGCATATTGATTTCTTATACGAGTTAGATACAAGACATCTATATGATCTTGAGATCTGCCTAGTATAACTTTGTCATCATAATTACTCCTCAAAGCTCATCAGCTCGTAAAAGTCTACTGCCCTATATGAGCCTTTACAGCAGGAAGGAATAGCTTTGATTTTGTTGCCCCGGCTTCGCACAGGCGATTTCTGGATCTCGGCAACAGCGCCACCTACCGGGTCCAATTGTGAATCGTTTGGAATCTAAAAGGTTCACAATTGGATGATCTAAATTTTAGATCATCCAGGGACCCATACAAACACACACAAAAAATTTCATCAAAATCGGTCGAGCCGTTTTCGAGTTTTAGCGAGACTAACGGACAGCAATTGATTTTAATATATAGAGATTAGAGATATATTAAAGATGTTTAAAATTAATTAGTTTAGATCCACGTAATAAATTAAAACGATATGTCTTACCTAGTTTGAAGATAGTTTGAAGTTTCCATCAATTGCGTGCACTATCCCCGTCTACACCACTACAGTAGAAGAGACACCACCGTCGACAATACGATACTTGCTTAACCACTAATTGAGGCGTCTTCATGTGAAGTACACTGCGGTGACTGACCGTTTCTTAGGCAATTAATATTTAATGTGTTTAATTTTCTCCCATACTTACTTCTTACGACACCTTCGAGATATAATTGGGTGGTGGAGATTCCTACTGCCACTACAAGGCATATATTAATACTCCAGTATTTATTTACACATAAAATTACCGTGTAGTGGCGGTGTAACAATATCCACTACCTCATATTATACCTTGGGTGTCGGGCCACAAAGGTAAACAAATCAGGATATGGGCAACAGTGTCTCCCTAATAACGACTAAACATAAATAACTGTGGTTGCCAACCCGCTTGCAAAGCGTGGCATCTATGGCAAATATCCCCCCTGTCAGGCAATCTTTGGGGCAAGCCTATGTTCAGTAGCAGACTTTAACATTTTCACTGTCTGATATTCATACACAATAATAAGACAATAGCAATGACCTATATGTAGGGCACAGGACAGCGAAAGGGTTAATAGGTTGTATGTAATAATAAACACTATACCTTTTTGTCAATAGTGCTTTGCATTTTATCCAACTGTTCCTGCATGAGTTGCACTTTCGCCGATAAGAACTTGCAAACACTCTCCACTGTTACTCTCTCTGAAATAATTATTTAATTTGATTAAATTTTTTTTATAGGATAGGGTGGCAAACAAGCACACAGTCCACCTGATGGTAAGTGGTTGCTGTGGCCCATAGACATCTACATTTATCCTCAATAAAAAATCAAAATGAAGATGTGTCGTCACCCGTGAGGACTAAGATGGAATGCCTCTTTTCCAGTAAAATGGGTCTCCGGTTCTCTACACTCACCATACGAAACACAGCAGTGTCAAGCTGCCATTTTACGCTGGTATTCTGTGAGAGCGTGGTCCTTCCCCGGTCGAGCCGACCCATTCGTGCTACAACTATACTACTAATATAGCTGCGGCATGGCTCTACAACGTATAAAATAAGTTATAATTTTAATAATTTTAAATTAAAAATTTTGTACAGCCGAATTCAATATAAATTATTAAGAATAACTCAATAACTATTGGTCTGACCTTGATCAAATTCATATGGGCCACATGAGAAGTATCAGTTTTCAAATAAAAAAAGAACCATAGAAATCGGTTCACCCAGTAAAAAGTTATGAGGTAACACACATAAAAAAAATAGTCTAATTGAGTACCGTCTCCTTTTTGGAAGTCAGCAGAAAACAGATTTAATGGTTTGAAAGTTTTTTTGCAAAAACAAACATAGGTAATTATAAATATCTTGGTAACACGCTAATAATTAGTCAGTAACTAGCTGTTTCTCACGACTTCGTCTGCGTGTGAATTTTTTACGGTTGGATTTCATAGGTTTTTATTTTTTTGCACGGAACCCTAATTGTTTTCTAAAATAAAACTAGCCTAAGTTACTCCTTATAACATCACCTATCTGACAGTTGAAGTCCCTTCAACATCTGTCCAGCCATTTCGGAGATTAGCCGGAACAAACAGTTAAAATTGTTGTTTTGTGATAAGTATCATATAATATACTGTCATGTGCAATTAAGTAACAAGATGTTATTTTAGCTTTACAAACAGACACTTCAATTTTATTTATTTGTATGTATGAACAGTATAATTAAAGGTATGCGGCATTCCTTCGTAGTCCTCAGTGGTGCCAATGCATCTGTATTAAAAATAAAAATTAGAATAGATTACAACTGACAAGAAAAATTTGTTTATATTTTTATTCATTAAAATATTTCACAATTTTTCAAAAAACTCATAAAAAGTAATACGGGATTGATATTTCAACATATTTGAATAAAAGAAAAAAAAACAACAGCCTAAAAGGTCTCACAGCTGGGAACAGACTCTGCACCTTTTTCTATTTATTTAGTATTCCAGGTTACAGGTTTTACCTAGCTTAAGCGCCAGTTTTTCAAACGACTTCAAAAAAGGAGGAGGTTCTCAATTCGTCGGATTTTTTTTGTATGTATGTTCACCAATTAGTCAAAGGCGTCTGAACGGAATTGGAAAATTATTTTTTTTATTTCAATGGGCCCACTTCCTAGGTGGTCACATTAAAATTTTATCGAAATCGGTCAAGGGGTTTTTAAAAAATCAACTATAAATTATATTCTTATTAAATTGTTTGTACATAATTTTAAATTTACCACTTGTCTCATATCAGCGAGTGGCAACTATGGCAAAATCTCCTAATGAGGCAATCCATTAGGGAGACCTATGTTCAGCAGTGGACTTCTATATGCAGTAATGGAATGGTTACACTTGATTTAGTAAATTTCAACCTAACAACTCTGCTTAAAATATTGTTTTAGCAATTTTTACATTATATTATTTTATCATGTCAGACATGTTAAATTATTGTGTAGAAAAAGATGTTTTGCATTGCTTTTTCTGTTTTATGTGTTTGCACATTCGATTGCAGGTAGAGTCAATAAGGTTTTAATATTGATTAAAACAGTATTTCATGCCGGCACACCGCCTGCAACTTTACAAGGCGCAGGTTCGGCCTCACATGGAATACTGTTCCCATCTCTGGGCAGGGGCTCCCCAGTGCCAGCTCCTTCCACTTGACCGCATCCAGCGCAGAGCGGCTCGAATCGTCGACGACCGAGCCCTTTCCGATCGGCTCGATTCATTGGCACTGCGAAGAGATGTTGCATCTCTTTGCATTTTCTTTCGCATCTACCATGGGGAGTGCTCTGAGGAATTGTTCGGATTAATCCCAGCCGCCAAATTTCACGAACGCACATCGCGGCAGAACTCCCGATACCATCCACACCATCTGGATGATTGGCGGTCCACCACTGTGCGATTTAGAAGATGTTTTCTTCCTCGCACAACTTCCTTGTGGAATAGTTTACCACCACGGATTTTTCCGGACCGATACGACTTAGGGACCTTCAAGAAAAGAGCCTACTCCTTTTTAAAAGGCCGGCAACGCATCTGCAATTCCCCTGGTGTTGCGGTTGTTCATGGGCGGCGGTAGTCACTTACCATCAGGTGAGCCGCATGCTCGTTTGCCCCCTCTCATATAAAAAAAAAAAAAACTACTTTTTTGATTTTATCACATTTATTTTTATAACAATAGTTTTATTTAATATGTATTATTCCCATAAATATAAGAAATCATATGCTTGTGTTAGGCTTGTGTTAAGAATTTTTTTTTAATAGAATATGGGTGACAAATTAGCACACAGTCCACCTGATGATAAGTGGATGCCGTAGCCCATGGACATCCTCATCTACATTTATACTCAATTAAAAATAAAAATGCAGATTCGTTATCACCCCTGTATACTAAGATGGAATGCCTTGACCAATAAAAAGGTCTCCGGTTTTCTACATTCACCCAGCTGTATTAAGCTGCTATTTTACACTGATAGTCTGTGAGAATGTGGTCCTTCCCCAGTTAAGCCCACCCATTCATACTAGAGCCATAATATAGACCCATTCATACTACAGCCATAATATAGCTGCAGCATGGCTCTGCTACATATAAATATTTATATATAAATATGATTTACCACATGTGGCTTCATGGCCAGTTACGAACAGGTGTGATGTTAGTAAAACATTGGCATTTAAGTTTAAAATGGTAGATACTTTAAGCATATTATCATTATATTGCTGTTATATATTTTTCTATTTAATAAAACCAAAGTATGCCAAAATACTGGTCTTTTTACCAGACTGCCCCAGATGGCTAATGTTATTCAAAAGCATGTATGTATTCATGCATAATATGTACATGTACACGTCTATTCGTTTTTACGAGGTAGGGCCACGCTGCTACTTAATTACTATGTATGAAAGGACCACACTTTATTGGCCGCAGCATCCACTTACAAACAGGTGGACTATGTATTCACTTGTCACCCTTATTCCATAAAAGAATGCTCTGTAGGCTCTGTAATATTTAGGGTGTTGTTGGATAGATCTTAATTGTGAAAGATCCTGTAGATTATAAACTTTTTACGGAGTATTTGTTTTAAATTAGTTACTGCTCGAACCATAGGGCTTTTTTTAAAATATTTTAGCAAAATACTTTCAAATATGACAAAATTTCTTATATTTGCCACATTTAATAAAATTAATTGTAACAATTTCTTAAATTTTTTTCGCCAACAATGCTTTGGTTGAGATTTATCAGACAAATAACACAGTAAGCAGTAGCAAAATAATGCAGTTTTGCAGTAATAAATACAAGAATGTACAAATTATTTAAATTATTAAGTTTCCATAATATGCGATTCTAGAAAATAAACAAAATATTATTAGAAGTTACCTTTTAAAAATGAGTGTGGCAGTATGTTGTTCTTAACATTAACAGAAACAAATGCATATAAAAACTCTAGATCATTTTGCATCCTCTCATTTGAATCAAATAAGCAATGGTGGCATGTGACTTGCTTGGAGCATTCAGAATTGTACTTAGTTTGATCTTTGTCCTGTACAGATGTGTTATCATCCAGCTTAACTGCTAATAATTTTGCTTTTGTTTTGGTTTTGATGATATCTTTATTGCTCTTATGCAAGCTGTTTGGCGTGGTTGTTTTTGTTAAATCACAGCAATGTTTTTTTAAATTGTTGGGCGAAGGAGTAATTCTAAGATTCGGTGGTGTATCTGAAAAAATATCTTGCTTTTGCTGCAAAAAAATATAATGACTGATAATACATACAGTAAATAAAAACTACAGTAAAAGTTAGGCAACATAATAAAGAGACATACCATCACATTCTCTATTTCCTTCATTAGACTTTCAGTTTTCTTCTCCAACTGCTTATTGAGTTTTTTGAATTCATTTTCTCGCGCTAAAAGATCCAAAGAATCCATTTTTAAGATTCTGATTTTGCTTAAATTATAAATAATTATTGAAAATATAGATTGTATAAGGCTGCAACAATAAATATGTATTTTTACGCCATAAAATATAATAATTCAGTTATTACTAAAGAGCCATGGATTTTACCAGTATTTAATAGCTAATCCGTTACTTCACTTAGTTATTACCATCGTGCCATGAGGTATAGGTAGTTATTACCGGAATTTTATGGATTATACCTTAATTACCTTATACCTCTTTTTATGCATATTTATTTTTTTAGAAAATTAAAAACTATTTACACTGCCCAAATGAAGCCAAGCAATTGATTAGTGGTTACTATGGCAACAGAGTTACCAAATCCAAAAAATATTTACCCTATAGGTTTAGTCCAAAAATCCCTAAAATCACGTTATTTACTTTGACGGCTCCGTGGCGCAGTGGCTTAGCAATTAGTTGCTGCGCTGGGGGCCGCGGGTTCGAATCCCGCACGGAACAAGTATTTGTATGGCCTACAAATAATTGTTCCTGGTCTGGATGTTTGTCTTTGTGCAAATTGTGTTTGTAAACAGCCTCCACGATACAGGAGAAAATCTTAGTGTGGGGGTAATGTTTTTAGAAAAAGAAGAATAAGATTAGAAGATTATTTAGAGAAATCCCCTAAAAATAAGTACAATACTTTACAAGGTTCTTTATATATACATTTTATAATATTTCAAATATTATTTCATTTTCTTGCGATGGTTCCGACATATTAAAATCATACATTTGACATACCTTTCATATACTTTTCGCTAGGAATCATCTTAAGCTGAACGCACCTTTGTCCGCGCCGCACGCGCCGTATGCGCTGTACGCGCCGAATTTTATAAAATGCGGTAGGTATACGATATCGAAGAATGAATGCTGATGACGTCATATAACGCGGCGCGTTCGGCGCGTGCTGATACTCAGTGTTGTCTAATGTTGTAATAAACTGGTGGTTTCGACTCACATGATAATTTTTGTATTTTTATCACTTTTAATTCATTTGTAATTAATTATACATAATTAGATTTTTTTTGCATCGATTATCAATATGTATTCTTAGCGATAAATTATTTAAATACTGAACTAACAAAAAAATAGTTAAGTTTAATTCAAAAACCCAATTATACCTATTACTTCATTATCAATAAAAATACTTACCTCAAACATACAACAAGTCTTTTTTCTGGTTCAATTAGCATCCTAAATCTTGAGTTTTCCATAGAAAGATATGGTTGTAGTATATGTAGCATTTCTTGAAATGTCTTATATATTGAATACAAATATCTAAAAAAATTCTTCATCATCATCTAATAAGTCTTTAAATAAAGTATATCCCCTTCATATTCTAAATACAATTGCCTTTTTAAATTAATATTATAAAATCCAGAATCTTCTTTTTCTTCGAAATTTATTTTCTTCTTCCTCTGATAATAAGCAGGCTATTACTAAATTGCTTTCTATAGTTGGAAAAAACTACAAAAGTTGTTGTTAATACAAAAGATTTGCGTACGGCGCGGACGATGCGTACGGGCAAATGTGCGAGGCTATCAGTAAAATTCGGCGCGTACGGCGCGTGCGGCGCGGACAAATGTGCGTTCAGCTTTAATAAGCAAGCTCTATTGGCTTGCATATGTGCGAAATATTATGGAATATCTCGAGCTATACCCGGAATCGACATATTCCACCACTCTTATGCTGTCTTTAAAAAATAACTCAGCGATCATTCTCCTCATCCATCGATGAGTCCTTATTTTCGTTGAAAAAAATATATATAAACCTATTTTCTTTTTTCCTTTTTTGAAATCAAAACTTTAGTTGCGTTTAGCGATTTTTGGTAGGGGAAAGTCTTATAGGTTCGCGTCACTGAGGATCTCGACATGCTCATTTTGACCGTATTGCTCATGATGTGCAATACGTCAGGAGCATGTCTACTAGGCGCATAGCGGCCTGTGCATTATATATCATTGAGTTTTCACTTCTGTCGGCAGTCCTTATGACTACATCTGTTTTTTTCCATCTGAATGTTTAAATGTATTTGTTGGTGAATGTCATGTACATTTGTTATTGATATACATTTCAGTGAGCGTGTTACTTTTCATATTATTTAGAGTGCTAATGTGTTTAATATGTACCTATATTGTAAGTGTCCTTATGAAATAAATAAATATGTAAATACATTTGGATATTAAATAAATATACATTTTAGTTAATCCATTAAATGTTAAAATCTATGTGCTATTTCGTTGCAATGTGAATCAGATCATCATCACACTTGGCAGCATTTCAATGGATAACAAGAAATAGCAACCGTGATAAAAAATGACAAATATACAATTTGAATTTAGAGACATTTTCAAAATGTTTACAGGCAGCTGCGCCGCATTCATCGTAAAATTCTGAACAAAAATCAACTAAAGTATATAAGTAAGTATAAAAAATATATAAGTCCCTAAAAATACAAAACCCTTAAAAAATCCTATCTCACTTATTTACCCCTTAAATTTAGGACAAAAGTCCCTAAGTTGGGAACCCTGCTTGGCAATGCAGATTGCTGTCAAATAATTATCAAACACTATCTTTAACGATATGTCCTCCCAGAGTATATAATCACTACCATCTATGTACGATAATAAATTACTATCACTATTAACTATATTTATTGAACAGAGCATATTTTACAGAGCAGAAAAAAGTAGTGATTAATAATATTATGCTATTTCGAGCGGAGTACTTTGTTTAATTGAAGTTTTTTGTGTGTGCTGAGTTTGATAAACGAAACAAGCATTCTCTATCTACGCTTAGTTTATGTATGATCTAGGCACCAGGCACAGAAATATTGAAACAGGAGACCAGTCTCTAGCATATATACAGTAATCTATGCAGGAGACGCAGCCCTATCGTATACATTCCTCCAGTCAATAGCGTAACTTTTTTTACGAATTTTTTATTAGTGTATACTTATCGCTTTAAAAATAATTTAATAATATTTAATCACAATTTAATTTCAAAAAATTCTTACCGTTAAACTAAAAAAGGTCATTATAATAATTTCTTGTTGGTTAAAGTAGTGTGCTGCAATCTAGTGTGCAACTGTAGAAGTTACAACTCGTCAAAAACAGCTGTGCGCAGACCAATCAAAGTGAAGCATACCTATTGTCAATAGAGTAGTTATTGTTGACAGATTGCTTTGTTGTCTAACATATGATCTCATATGAAAAAACTGCTGTAATATAATATTGGAAACTATGCTAAAAGTTTAAAATATTGCTAAAATCTTATATGTATTTAGCTAATTCTGTAAAACGATCCTGAGAAATAACATAAAACAGATATTAAAGTTGAGAGTGTGAGCGAGAGGTTGAATAAATGAAAGAGAAAGACTAAATCTTTGCAATCGATTGACGAATGAGAACGTACTTGGCCCAGCTGACATTTTTTTTAGTTCATTACTGAAGCGGGCGGAGCGTTGACGCTCGCTGTACAGTGACTGCATAAACTGTAGAAAAATCACATTTGGACAGCGTTTACGCGTCCGGATATATTGTGAATAGTGCAATAATGTATTTGAAGAGAAAAAGACACGATTTTCGTAGTGTTATATTATAGCGTAGGTGTTCGGTATTGGAGTTAGACAAATACGCTTGCTGCTAAAAAGGTAATCTTTGTTGTATTTTTGATGTGATGCACGCAACATATGTTTAGGTATAGAAGAGAATACGTGTAAAATTTTCAATGTAACCTACCAAAATCGTTTATTTTATGTCGTTCCTGCTTTTTAGAAAGTATGACAGGGTTTACGAGTTGATCATAAAGCGACCATTTTAAAGTGACATTGAATCAAATGCAATGACGTTCTCTCATCGTGCATCCTAAATTTATTTGCGTAATTTCATTAATGTATGTAGTTGTTACCCTTTCCTTTATCGGTAAAGCACATTAGATGCTGTAATTACTAAAATTTATTTGATTTACGTTTTTTTTTAAACATGGTGTTCATATGATCATAAGTTTCTGAAATTGCGAACGTCGTAAATAAAATCAGCTGTTTCCGTTCAAAATTTGAAAGGCAGGTACAATACTTTATAAAGCCAACTAAGTATATCGCTGTCTTTTTTTTAGATGCGTGGTAGATGTAACGGGTCAAGCAGGTATTGTAAGGTAACACAGCTGTTTGTTTATAATTTCATGCAACAATGACTCTTGTTGTATTGCACTTAGGCTTAAATTCAATTATGCATTTTGTACATTGTATGTCAGTACCCTGAATTCAGTTTGACTGCAATCTCTTCGGACTCGTTCTAGGGATGGGCATAATTTTATCGACAGGTACTGGGTAGTGTTGAATCTAGGGTTTTACTTCGTAACTCTTTAATGGGTAACGGTGTATCGTTGACCTTTGTCAATGATGATGTCTTTCATTCAGCATCTATGTTTTTCTTAAAACTTCGGGAAGTTATCACAAATTAACCATTTCTATAGAATATCTTGTGGAATTCCTTGGGGGAGGCCTATGTTCACCAGTGGACTTGTGAAAGGCTCAAATGAATGAATGAAGAAATATTTATTTTTCGCATAGTTGACAATCTTGAAATATAAAAAAAAATTGATCTAATAATTCACGTAGGTAATCAACGGTATCTTTTTCATGTTTGAAAGTTTCTCGATTAATATTAGTTAATTTGGTATGTAAGCTATTTTATTAGTACTTCATCGTAGCGTCACTTTATTAATTTGGTCATTAAGGTAACATTATTTGGTAAAATAAACTTCAGAATAGTGTAAATATTATGATATTTTAACGCTGAAAGAAGCTGCATCATTGTACCACTCAGAAGTGATGTAAATTGAACTAAAGTTTTAGAATGTCTCACCGTATTTTGCTAATCGGCGCCATTTTGTCTGTAGGTAACTATGATACGATTGCAGAAGATAAGTTCTTAGTGAGTTGTGATATATATATCAAGTATATTTATGATATTAT